CGACCCTCTGCTTTCCCAAGCATGACTTCCTTCTTTAAGGCCCTGTCCCTCCTAACAACATGTCTAAGGCTCGTGAGAACAAGCCTCACGATCTTTCCTTCTAAAGACCATTCTGGATGTCCTCCTTCCAAGACAGGTTTGTTCATGTTTTGGGAAGTCCGTGGTTCACTCAATGTTCTTCACCAACAGCTCAATTAGGGCATCTGTTATTTTGCAGTCTTCTTTACGCACTGCCCAGCTTCCCCACGTATATGAAGCAGGTGAAAAACCATGGATTGGATCAGGTGCTCCCTACATCTCAAAGTGGCATGGACGCTTCTTAACACTTTTTAAGACTTTTTGTGTAGCATATTTGCCCAATGCGATATGAGGGGGCACCCCCCAAAAAAGGAAAAAAAGTTTTCAAAGCTATGTATTTAATTTTTTTTACAAAATGGCCTTATCACTTTCAAAGTACTCTGCATTACACTTAATACATTTGTCAAATCTGCGATTCCGTTCTTGGAAACATTTTTCAAACTTATCTGTTTGGATTGCTGACAGCACTTCCCTCATTTTTTCTTCATTTCTTTCATGCCGTCAAATCTCTGTCCTTTCAAAACCCTCTGCATTTGCACGGAAACAAAAAGAAGTCCAAAGGAGCAAGGTCAGGTGAGTAAGGTGTGTGGGGCAAGAAAGGCATGGGTTTTTTGAGCCCAAAACTGGTGCACTGAGATGGCTGCGAGGTGTACTGTCATGGAGGCAAAACAAGACCCCCGTCTGCCACAAGCCAGGCCTTGCTTCTCGCACATTGTTACACTATCTTTCAGAACCTCTAAACAGAAAGCTTGGTTAAGAGTCTGACTGGTGGAAGGAACTCCAAATGCACTATAAGTAGACATTTTTGTCCATTTGTGAAGTTGATGGTCATCCAAAATGAGGTTTGTCATCAACAGACATTTCACTTTTTTGAAACGAGAAAACCACTCATACACTTTAGTTTTCCCCACAGCTCTGTCCTTGTAAGCTGTGTTTAACATCACAACAGTTTCTGTAACATTCTTTCCAAGCAAGAAACAAAATTTCACAGTGTCACCCTGTTCTCTTAAATTGGCCATCACAAAAAATGAGGTTTGAGCAAAACCGCTTTTATGAAAAAATTCACTGTGACCAGAGAGAACCTTCCCAAGTGATGCCACTGCGTGCACTAACTCGGAAAGTGTTGCTGGATGCTTGCCTAGTGGAAAAAATGCATACTACCAAAACTCTGCCAGTTAGCTTTTTTCAGGGTTGTTTTTTTGGGGGGGTGGGTATCCCCATGTATGTCTTTTTTTTTTTTAACTACTACGTCCATGATCATTGAGTAGGGATCTAAGCAAGATGAAAAAATCCTGAAAACCTTCAATGTTTTCTGTTTTTTCATGATGTTGCATACTGGTCCACTTGTGAGGGGTTTGCTTTCTTTATGTTGGGCTGTACAACTGAAGGCTGTAGTCCTTCGTCTTCATCCACAAGTACTTAAAGGCTTCTTTGCTGTCAGCAAGCAAAGCTGCATTCTCTCCACACCACAGGTTATTAGTGACTCTTCCTTGAATCCTAACACTGTATTATTCATCATACATCCGGTTTCTCAGATTATTTGCTAGGTATATGATTTGATAGGTATGGTGAAAGGATTCAACCCTGATGCATACTTTTCCTAATTTTAAACCATGCCCTATCCCCTTTTCCTGTTTGAACAAATCCCTCTTGATTTGTGTACAAGTCCCATGTGCACACAATCAAGTGCTTTGGAATTCTCATGCTGTGTAATAGTATATATAATTTTTTAATAGGCAACGACCATTTCAAAGTTAAAAAAAAACCCACAGGTAAACATAGATCTGCTACTCTCTGTCTTCAGCCAAGATCCACCTGGCATGAGCAATGATCTCCCTCATGCCACATCTCTTCTGAATCTGGTTTGAATGTCTTAAATTCATTGTCAATGTACTGCTGCAACCATTTTAAAATTATCTTCAGCAAAATTTGTGCTCCCAATAGAATAAACTCAAAAATCAAACTCACTGCTATTAAGTTGTTTCAACTTATAGTAACTCTACAGGACTGAATTTTCCATAACTTTAAATCTTTAGGGGAATAGACAGCCTCATCTTTCTTCCTCAGAGTTTGAACCATTAACCTTGTGTTATCAGCTCAAGGTGTAAGCCATTACACCCCAGGACTCCACTCCCAATAAAGTGCAACATGCCTTTTTAAAAAAACAAAAAAAACCAAAACAACTACTAAATAAAGTGTTCTACCTAATAATAAAGCACAGCGCTTTATTAATAATTTTTCCCTATATTCTATCATGACATTACAAATGATTTGAAGTAGCTAAACAGTCTGAAGATTTTTAAACAGTCTGAAGATTTTTTAAAAATGGGAGAAGGCCTCTGCAATTTTTCCTGTTGTATACCTTTTAGATTGAGGCCCCAACACTGAAAGCAAGTATTGTGTCGGGCTGACCCATTCTAAGAGGAGGTGCCAGATCCCCTATGAGGCCCTGGTAAGGTGCGACTACAAAACTGGTCTGGCCGCCTGGAAGCATCATCCACCTCAAGGACAGTGAAGCAGAAACTTGAAATTTAAAGCACAAAGTTAAGGGTTAGAGAGTGATTATTTTTAAAGGGAGGGTGACTAAAGAGACAGACTGTTTTCTTCCTGTAGTTCTAAGGCAAGTGGGATCATTTAGAAAGTTTTAAATGTGTTCTCTGGAGCATATAGACTGGGGAGTGATTCACATTGACAAAAGTTACCTTGTAAAATGTACCTAATTATGTTAGCCCCTTCCTTGTATAGAAGAAAAAGAAAACACACACTGAGATTTCAGTTTCAAAGGTTGCATAGCAAATATATTTGAACTAATATGAGGGGGTTTCAAAACGTTCAGGGGAAAATGAAATGAAAAGACAATAGAATTTTTCCACAAGCTTTGTGAAGTCCCCTTTGTGTTTTCCTTCATAGAATTTAATATCTTATTCTCCTTCTTTCGCGGTCAGTCCCTAGGATTTCTTTGGCCCCCAAAGTAATACTATGTTCCGATGTAGATGTCCACAATCCTAAGAAGCCCATTTAAGAATGTATTTCTTAATCAGTTTATCATGACTCCAAGGTCAAAGATGAGAGCATGGAATAAACTCCCAAGATTCTGCCTGTGGAAAGTATTCACTTAAGAGCACATCCTAGTTTTTAGGAAAAAACGGGAGTTGTTTTAACGTGTAATAAGAATTTCTCTACAAACCCCGAAAGAGCTGCAGGAGGCGAGGGCGAAATGCTGCGGGGATCACTCTCTCCGGCAGCTCTCTCAGGAAGAGCTTCAGAAGGCTGGCTGCTGAGTAGACATCGCCATCTTCCCCAAGATCCACGTGCAAGCCACGCTCGAACTTCAGACGGAGCTGTCCCACGACTTTCACATTCCCGTTCACCCGAAAGAGGCCTTCCTGGGTGAGCCCTGGAACAGCAAAGTAGACACATGCAGAACAGAAGTTCTCACAACAGATACAAAATGTAAAGAACAACAACAAAAAACCACATCCCACTGTTGGATTCTCTGACTACTGCCGTTATCAGGCATGGAAAGGTTTTCACAGATTGTGAAAAGACATTTTCTTAGAATAATAAGTGTCCGTATCTACTACATGTTAGCTAAAAACGATCATTTTATGATCATCATAAAATGTAACCTCTACACGGAGGCTAGAACATGTATGACGATATTACACAATAATACACACAGCGTCATAGAGGAAGACCTCAATGAGAGGGATTGACACAGTGGCTGCAATAATGGGCTCAGCCAGACAATTGTGAGGATGGGACAGGGTCGAGCAGTGTTTCCATCTGTTACAGACAAGGCTGCTATGAGCAGGAATTGATCTGACCGCACCTACAAAGAAATTTCAGGGTGATAATGTTGAGTATGCTTAAGATTGCTGACCACAAGTTGGTGGTTCAAACCCACCAGCCTCACTGTGGATGAAAGAGGAGGTTATCAGCTTCCAAAAGATTTACAGCCTCAGAAACCCGATATATGGCTTCTATGAGCCAGAAACAACTTGATGGCAATGGATACAATATTAAATGGTATATAACAGAAACATTCTGGATTCTAGTATCAGAGTAGCACTTTTTGAACAATTATTTTTAATATGGAATGGACTTAAGTAACTTGAATTATATGCAACTATCTTTGTAATGGTTTAAGAAAGAGGAAATATCCTTAGTCATTAAACTTAATGTAAAAAATTCTTTGTGAATATAATGTATTGCATAATACAGTTCCTACCTTCAGTCAATTTGTGAGTGACTCTATATTCTTAATTATAGATTTTTTAAAAAGAGACTCCCAAAAGGATTATGCTCCCAGACCCATAAGACCTTAATCTACCACTAACAAAGAGGAACAAAAATATAAATCAAGAGGTAGAGATAGGATAACATAAAGAAAACTAGGCAGTTTAAAACGTAGGGTATTTAGGTTAAAGAACAATGGGTAATGAAATGGAAGAAACTGGATAGGGTCATGAATGTTAAGTTGAGGACACTTTATCACTAGAGCATTAACTGGGAGAAAAACATAATATCATCAGGTTTCAGGAAGATTTAGAAAAGTAAGTGGAGAATAGAGAGGGCAGGAGTTTTCCTTAGAAGACTACACTTTATTATAAGACAGAGATTATGCTGGAAAAGGAAATTAAAAATAAGAGTAATTTAGAGTAATAGAAGTAAAGAAAATGAGGAATAGAAGGTCATCTTAAGGTTTCAAAATAGATGATCTGGCGAGCGGGGGTAGTGAGGGGAAACAGTGTATAAGATAAGGTGGAGTCAGGAGAGGCAGGTAGCTTAGGGTAGATGGTAATGATTTCCAGCTAACGCATTGGGCTTAAGGAGACAACATACCCACAAAAGCAAACATGTCAGACAACAGAACAGCTGAAGGCATCACACAAACACTTTAGTTCATTAAAGGTCAATAAGCTAAGAAAGAATGAGCCAAGGTTTCAACTTGCCACTTAAAAAAAAAAAAAGCTCTATGGTGAATGCTATGAAGACATACACACTGAAGCACATCAGATTTTTTAAATAGGTGAAGTGTTTATTTCTAAAGGTTTTTATTTATTTCTTTTTCTTACCTGCCAAATGCATTAATCGTTTTAAAGAAAAAAGAAAATTAATTCCCTTCTCATTTATAAAATGAAAAAAATATCTTAAGAATCCTTTAACTCAAAAAAATGTACCATTACTTTTATGGAGTTTGTAGTTTGATAAAATATTGGAATTCTTACACAGATGTATTTGGTGGAAATAACATTAAGAATACTAAACTACTAAAAACCCCACTGCCACTGAGTCAATTCAGATTCATAGCAATCCCATAAAAGGCTTAGGAGACTGTAAGTCTTTATGGAAGCAGAGAGCCTCAACTCTCTCCTGTGAATGGCTGGTGCATTTGAAGCACTGGCCTTGTGGTTAGCAGTACGATGCTTACCAAACAGTGCCACGAAGGTCCCTTAAAAAAAAAAGTTGACACGAATTTTAGTTCCCAATTCTGACCAGAATTATTTGTGAAGCTATGATGATATTTAAAGTATTTAATCATCAGTGTGGCCAACGTATCACTCAGTCAGAAGAGACACCTGCCAGTAGGTGTGCTATGCAGTTTCTGACAGGGCCCCAGTTATCTGTACCTCATGATATTCATGTCTTTGTATAGTTCCTCCCCAAAGGAGTGGGACTTAGTGACTTGTTTCTAATTAATAAGGGACAGTCAAAGTGATATGACTTACTTCTGAGTTAAGGCAATAAAAGACTGTTCTGGCTAGCTTGCTCTGTAACAATTACTATGAGTCAGAATCAACTCAATGGCAGTGGGTTATTATCATTATTATCCTCTGGAAATGCCCTGTGATAGTTAGGTTTATTGTGCCAAATGGCCAATTGGAACATGTGGGTAGCATGTGATCAAGTCACAGCTTGATTTGGAAGGGACCGGGATAAATGAAGATAGCTAGCAGGCATCCCATATCTTTCTTGCTCCCTGGTGATCTGACCAGTGTGCTACTGCTTTAGCTATTTCTCTGCTTCAACCTGTGTGCTACACTACCTGTGGACTAAGGCAACCCATGGATCTTGTCACTAGATCTTGAGGCTCCATTGAGACCTGCTTCGCCATGCTGCTGGTGTGTACATCATTTGAGCTTAGGGCTAGTAGATTCTGTCACCATGCATCCCTTAATTCAAGATTGCATCAGGCCCAATTTGCTAAGCTCCTGTGCTACTGACTATTGCTGACCCATCCTGCTCTCTGCTACCTGCAGGCAGACTCTGCCTGTCTTGCCTGAGGGAAGACTCCACTGTCTGCTTCCTTGACCTTGGACCCTGCAACCCATTTGAATTGAAGGTCTTCCAGTATATTAACTGTTCCATGAAAACGAGTTTAACTGAGCCCTCTGTACTGCTAGGTGGACTAATTAGCTGTTATATTCCTGCTTGCCATATATATATATATATATATCTGTACTGCTATATATATAAAATATATATATATATATAAAAAATCATAAGTGTCCTGGTTTTGTTTCTCTAGAGAACCCTGCTGAACACAGGCCCCCATTGCAAGAACACGTGGGCAGTCTTTGGCCAACAATCACTAAGTAACTGAAGGCCCCAGTTAAACAGCCCACAAGGAACTGAATCCTGCTAATAATCATGTGTGTGTGCTTAGGAATGGATCCCTCCCAATCTAGTCCTAAGATGACTGTAGCCTTGGTTGACATCATGATTGCATGATTATAGTCTTGAAAGACACCCTAAGAGAAGATTTACAACTAAGCTGTGTCCTAATTCCTGGCCCACAGAAAATGCAAATCTCAAACAAACACAATATCCACTGCTACTGGGTCTATGGAGACTCACAGTGACCCCAGGTGACAGAGTATAACTGCCTCTGTGGGTTTCCTAAACTTTCAATCTTTATGGAAGTAGAATGCTTCATCTTTCTACTGTGGAGCAGATGGTGGTTTTTGAACTACTGATCTTGCAGTTAGCAGCCCAATGCAAGCATCGTGATGTGGGCTCCTACAGAAATTAATAATAAATAATGTTCTTTAGATTTACTATGTTTTCAGGTAGTTTGTCAAGTGGAAGCATTGTTGCTTCAATGGAACAATTCATATCATTCATACGGAGAGCCAGGCCCAATTCCAGTCCGTGTGTCTCATGAACAGGCACTAGCTTGCATGATGCTATCATACTGGACAGGTTGTAGCAGTTTCCAGACTATGAGGAGCCAGGGGGAAAGGCCTGGTGATTTACTTGCTGGTAGTTTTGAAAAATGGTCACTGATAACCTTATAGATCAAAACATTCCAATTTATAACCAATCACGTGGCCAGCACAGGCCCAGGCAGCATTTCAGCATTTGATGCATGAGGTGCCCATGAGTTGGCGGCTGACCCAACAGAGCGAACAACAACAATCTACTAGGCAGCAGCCAATACCCATGCCTTTATGTACCTGAAGAATAAAATCTATGCCTGGGAAGCTACCGACATTTAGAATTGTGTTTCCTCCACAGAATAAAGTTCATCTTTCACTTCGTAGATCTATACTAGCATCAAAAACCCAAATTTACTGCTATTGAGTCATTTCTGACTCACTGCAACAGCACCTAATAAAAGAAACTCCAATCCTGGGTAAAGGCGCAAATCTTAAAACATTTCCAATTTTGTGTCCTCCTGTATTTATGGAGCCTTAAACCCAACTTTGCTTCCAACTTTTGGCTCAGCAAATGTCCCTTGGATCTAATTCTACATAATATTTTTCTAGTTTTGACCTTAAGATTTCTCTTCTGTTTTTTTCCCCTGAACCTTCCCTCAAATAAAGACATATCCAGCCATTACAAAATAACCCAGTTCTAAGAACTGGTTGTTGTGCTCCTGGCTCCTGCCTCTCTACTTGGGCTATACAAGTAGAGAAAGAAGGTGTAAATACAAGAGGGTTGAAAGTTTGGGTGAAAATTCCACTATCACTTCATTCTATTTTCTGAATTTTTGAAGACCCCCTCATAGAAGTCATGGATGTTTATGTTCCTCAACCATTTCTTTCCTAGACTCTTTCCAAATCTTAAGGAGACTACCACTTGTCTGTCAGTTAGTCATCCTGTGGTGGTTTGCGTGTTGCTGGGATAATGGAATCTCTACCACTGTTGTCTTAAATAACAGCATTATCACCCAAGGTGAACAGGTTTCAGAGGACCCAACAGACTAAGAACAGCCTATGAAGACGGAAGGCTGTTCACTTCTGAGTGATTAACCACTGAAGTTTTATGAATAGCAGCAAATCATTGCCAGAGATAGTGCCAGAAGAACCCCTCAGGTTGGATGGCATTCAAAATACAACTGAGAAAGAGCCACTTCTTCATGTAGAGTTGGCATATAATATGCATGGAAAA